TGCTGCAGCAGGAGGGTCCTCCCTGCTGCAACCAGAGGGTCCTCCCTGCTGCAACCAGAGGGTCCTCCCTACTGCAACCAGAGGGTCCTCCCTGCTGCAGCAGGAGGGTCCTCCCTGCTGCAACCAGAGGGTCCTCCCTACTGCAACCAGAGGGTCCTCCCTGCTGCAACCAGAGGGTCCTTCCTGCTGTAACCAGAGGGTGCTCTGGATACTGTCCATTGGAGACAATCCTTTTGTAGGGATTTTGCTGGCTGTCTTTTTTACAGTTTTGTTTGAACACTCACAACAATAAAATCTTGTAGATAGAAAGGTCAGGATTTATTCATAATTTGGTACTGATTTCAACCAAAGAAGATTACCATTAATCTTCACTTATCAGAAGAGAATATGAGATTTCAAACGGGAAGGTAAGAGCATCTTAGATAGGAATGCAGGCTTGGATACCGCACCACCACCTTCTCCTGAGTGACGTTTCTGTAGCGGACTTTCAGTATAAGAGTCATAGTTCCTCGTTGTACAGCAAGTGTGTGCCTAAATGTCAATAATACTATGATGACATGCTTCAAAGATAGTTCCATTGTTGTGGAGCAGTGGCTCTCAGCCTTCCTAACGTCGTGACCCTTTGGAACAGCTCCTCATGCTGTGGTGACCCCAACTATAAATTCTTTTATTGCTACTTCATAACTGTAATTTTGCTGCTGTTATGATTCAAATTGTAAATAGCTGTTTTTCTGATGCTCATTAGCAACCTCTGTGGAAGGGTTTGTTCACCTGTCAAAGGGGGCAGTACCCACAGATTAGAGGCGGAAGCTTCATCTACCACCACCCTCCTAAGGATGCTCATTATGAATTTGCTGGAAAACACATTGTTTTGGCCTCGGGGCATAGCACTCTGATAGTGTAGAGACAGAACTTGAGCTCACCAGGGCTGGAAATAGTCACGTGGGAAGCATTACTCATGTGCTTCCAAGACAGGATGGTGGTAAGAGGCTTATCTGAAGCCATCAAGTTGTGGAAGTGCACTAGTCTGCAGAGCTGCATACCAGAATACCACAGACCGGGTGGCTTACACAATAGACATTTGCTTTCCCATAGTTTCAGAGGCTGGCAGTCCAAGATCAAGTTAGCAGTGTTGGTTTCTCCTGAGGCCTTGCTTCTTGGCAAGCAGTCACCTTCTCACGGTGTCCTCACAGAGCCCTTTTCTCTGTGTGCCTGTGTGCTTCTGGCATCTCTTCCTCTCCCAAGCATAGTGATTCTGTTGATCAGGGTGACTTACAAATGTCATCAGTTTCAGTTGTCTCCTTAAAGGCTATCTGCAGATATATTCACATTAGGAACTAGGAGCTTCGACCTTTACGTGTTGTGTAGTGCACTAGGGTCCATAACAAGAGCTGCGGAACTGTAACACGTTGTTAGGTCTCAGCAGCTAGTACAGTGGGTCTCAACCTATGGATTGTGACCCCTTGGGGATCCCATATCAGATACCCTACATATGAGATATTCACATTAAGATTCAAAACAACATCACTTCTTGGCCTTTTGGCTAAGATCAAATGAACATTCATAACAACAAAATTACAGTTGTGGAGTATCAATGAAAACAATTTTATGTTTGGGGTCACCACAGCATGAGGGATGTCTTCAAGGGTTCCAGTGTTGGGAAGGTTGAGAACCACTGACCTAAGCGTAAAATCTGATCTGCCTCATTTGGATCGTAAGAGACCATCAATGGGTACAGAAGTGCAGTGGGTAATCTTGTTAGGCTTTGTGGAACACTGTCTGTCAAGAGAGTCTTTAATCAATGGACACTTGTGGAAGTTTTAGCGCAAGCTTTAATCTGTCGGCTTTACGAAGTCTAGATGGTGGGTGGTCCATACAGCGACATTAACGTGCTGTGACGCCTGTGCCTATGACTGCAGCGCCCACCATCCTTGTGAGGAACCAGAGCTCTCTCGGGCTCATACAAGCAAGCATGCTGCCCTCACACTACCGCTGTCCTCCTTTGACCCCCACTAACTATCCTGGCTCCCTCGGGGGGCTTCCCCTGCCTTTGGCTGTTCCTCAGTGCCGGGCCTCGCCATATTGAACTCCTGGGGTTTCTCTTTCCTGATAGCACTCTGTTCTCCTACAAAGCCTAAGTGAGGTGCCTCTTCTCGAGATGATCCTATTTACCACCGCTGTGCAGTACATTGGGATTGAAATTGTTGCTCGGTGAAAGAGTCCATCAGCCTAGTTGCAAAGCGCTCTAATGGTGTGCTTCCATTACCGTCGTGTGTGCACTTGAAGCCGTTTGGTGGCACAGTGGTAAAGTGTGTTCATGTCACCTTGTTATCATGCCCTACCCTGTGTAGGGCTGCAGGTGTGAGGTGGATGCACACGCGCTGTCCTTTGAAATGCTACAAAGAATTGTTAAACATCAGTTTTGACTTGCATGTTTTTTAAGAAAAAAACACATCAAATGTGATGAGTCCTGTTATAAAACAGAGAAGGAGATTCTCACAGGAAGACCTTTCCTCTTAATTTATGTCCAGCAAAGGTCAGCTTTTAAAGGTAAGTCAGAAGATTTAGATTGTTGGTATAAAAATATCAAAAGCTGTTTTTCAAGAAATATTTCTCTCAAAAAGATACTTAAGCAATAAACTCTGTGATGATAGCAGGGTTATATAATCAGTGATCCACGGAGCTTTCCTTTGTTGAAAAACTGATAAGCTGAAGTTTTTTCTTCCAGATGCATCTGCTTAGCGCAGAAAATGGAACCTGAAGGGGTACTATAAAGCCCTTCTAAGAGAGGCAGCAGAGTGCGAGGGTTGTTGGTTTTTTTCTTTTTTTAATTTGCTTCAAAGTAATTTACTTTAAAACTTTAACATCTGGTATTTGGAAGCTAATCTTTGTGTGTTGAGTGTTCTTAACCATTTCTCAATCCCACAGTCTTTTATCTTGCTTCTCCTGCTGTGTTCCCACCACCCCTGATCCTATTAGCAACCCCTGACACAGCCTCAGACTTACCAAAGTCCTGCTTTGGTTTCAGCTGTTCTTCTGCAAGAGGAAGTGAGTGTTGGGGCTCTTTCTGTGGCACAGTTGTGATAAAGCTGTGGTGGTCTTATCTCTCTCCTAGGTAGTGGCTCTTTACGACTACACAGCAAGCCGATCAGATGAACTAACCATCCATCGCGGAGACATTATCCGAGTGTTTTTCAAAGATAATGAAGACTGGTGGTACGGCAGCTTAGGAAAGGGACAGGAAGGTTTCTTTCCAGCTAATCATGTGGCTAGTGAAAGTAAGTGTGTGCTCTCTTCCTGGTACACTAAGGTGATATACGAGCCCAGGATTTGGTCACTTTCTCCCCTTTAGTGCACTGTCTGTATCATTGTTGCTTCTGTTTACCAGTTTGAAACATTTTTCATTCTCATAATGGAAAAGCTGAAAGGAAGAGGCACTGGTCAGCCAGAGAGCCACTCTGCTCTGAGATTGGAATGTCTGCTGATTGCCCTTGTCATTCATTCCTGGGGAGCCTCCAGCAGCCACTTCCTTCAGCTCCTTCCTCCCTCCCACCTGCTGCTCTGTCTTGTCAGCCCTTCTCTCTCCTGAGTGACTCTTAGCATCTTAAGTACCTCCAGCCCCTCCGCCCGCACTCCTCATATTGTATACCCCAACTCTGGCCAGGTGCCTGCTGACACAGGAATGAAGGGGCTGTCTCAATCTCAGGTTCATTAAGTGAAAAGAAAAGAGAACAGACAGCTTCCTAACAAGGCCCTCTAAAAGCTGTAGCCTTACTGTGAAGCTCAGGAAGGTGAAACCAACACAGAAAGCCTACACGTGAGGTGAGCTGTCACAGCAAGGCACACAGCACTGCTTCTCCAGAGTGGGTCCTAATGGCAGCTGCCCTGGTGGCATGCTGGAGACCCTGCACTTAGGAAGGAGATTTCAAGCCCATGCCCAGCTTACACTGGCCTGTGGGAGTCGCCTTTAGAATAAGGACGGTGCACTGCAGGCAACAAAGCAATCTCACACAGGCGCTGATGGGGTGGCTCTGAGAGAATGAAGTAGGAAACACTGCTTTGAATATTTATTGTCTTGTTTTTGCAAAGAATTATTTATTCCTAGTAGTTGATTTTCACGCTAACCTTTGAAACCCCTACTTAAACCAAATTGTGACTGAACAAAAATACTGTTACTTCCTGGCTTAAGTTCTGAATTTTGAGAGTAAAAGGATATATTTAAAAAAATTAAAGGGAGGAAGAAGAATGTTTTTCCTTGATTACCATGCTAGGCTACATCTGTTTGAAATGACTTCCCTTTACTGTCCCCACTTTGCTCCCCACGTGTCCCCAGAGCCCCACTCTGGTGTCTCTCCACAGCCCCCTTCCTTACCCTGTCTGTTGCCTCAGCAAACTCTGCCCCTTAAGAGTGCCAAGAATTACAAAAAAAAATGCCCACTTCTCTTTCCTATGACACGATTTTTAGTTTTCTGTTTGTCCCTGATTTATGTATCTCTAAAGCACAACTAGTAGCTTGTAAATTCTCCTAGCGATACATTCCATCTCTCAAAGAAAATACATGATGGAGAAAGCTGAAGGCAGAGTGGAAAGAAGCTGTTTAGGACCAGGTAACTACCGAGTAGACTGAAGACAGTGTTAAAGTCCTCTCCCACGCCCTCAACATTTCCAGCTTCCTGACTGCCACAACATCCACGTGTCCCTCACACTTTTGGTGAGCCAGCCCTGGGCAGGCCCGCTGAGCTTCAGTGACAGTGGCTGGCTGCTGGTAGAGTTGTAGAAGGATGTCTGTGACTTGACTAGGACATACAGCCTTTTCCTTTCAGATACCAATGGGGGCGGGGTGGATGTTGCAGATAGGTTTTTATTTGACAATATGAAAATACCACGTGGCTCTCAGCACATTCTGCAGAAATAAGCCTGTAGGCTTGCCCTCTTGAGAGGCCACAGACATTGGATCTGCAGTGAGTTAGAGTCTAAGAAGACTTTATTTTCTGTGTCTAGTAACTCTGAAACCTCTACAGTGATGGTTGATAGCTTTGTTGAGAATTGATTCCTTGCCTCAAGTCATAACCATCCTGCAACTGTCACTACTTACTGTGCGCTTGAATAATTAATGCCTTCCTTAGCCACTGCTTGTTGTGAGGGCCTTGTGCAGGTGAGAACAAACAGGAGGGAAATCTCAGAATACCTCAGTGCATAATAGCTGAATCTCACATGTCAGCAGGTGCTTTTCTTTCCCTTTTATCCTACTTGCTGCCTGAATTTAACAAAAACTCACCTACCAGACTTTAGCATTAACAAGGAAAATGGCTCTCAGCAGCATATTCTATTCTAAAATGGAGGGAGGAATTTTCCTCGGTCTTTATCTGAAGCCATGTGTGCAAAGCAAATGTCAGAGAGTTTGTACATGAACAGAATCTCTACACTGTTTAATGAGAACGGCAAATGGAAGATAACGTGCTCATGTTGCACAGTCTGGCTCTGCTGTGAGCTGCTGGGCAGGCAGCAGGATCACTCTCTGTCAGTCACATCCAACACCCTTTCTCTGCTGTGTAAAGAAACCTAAGAGTGATGCCAACCCACATCCACTAATATCTCATAATCTTAATTGTACAATTTCAGTTCAGTCCATCTCTGGAATTTCTCAATTCCAAATTACTCGTCATTAAAATAGATTTTCATTTTAGCCCTTGAAGATTCCCATATGGGTTTTTTCCATACACATACTTTGTATAGATTATGTAGATTATCATCGAAGATTAAAGGGGATTTAAGTTTATATCTTGGATATAATCCTAAATCCATGTTTATTCATTCCCTGTTCCCAAATTATCCTTCTAGTCACAGTACTACCTGTTCTTCAGAGCTTGACACACCTTCTCCTCCTTCCGCTCAGGATTTTCCATCCCCATACCACTTTATCATTGTTATTCGCTGCCTTTCGAATGATGCTGCTTTTATGGACATGACTGCCTCTTGGCCAGTAGTCCTCATCCTGTGGAGCACATCCCCTTTGGGGGTCACCTAAGAACACTGGAAAACATAAATATTTGCATAATGATTCATAACAGTAGCAAAATTACAGTTATGAAATAGCAACAGAATCATTTTATGGTTAGGGGTCAGCACAGCAGGAGGAGCTGTACTGAAGCAGTAGGAAGGGTGAGCGCCCCAGCTCTAGGCAGACAGGAGCTCCTTGGGAGCAGCGGCTGCTGTTGCCTGGCAGATAACCTTGCATACAGCAGGCTCCTGGCCACTGTGTAATGAGAGAAACTAAAATAAGCGTCTGTGTGACCAGCAGTACGTGAAGTAACGCCTTCTGCCCTTCTGAAGTCCTCGTGATTGAAACTCTAGTCCTAGCTCTGGGTCAGACCACAAGCTGCGTTAACCAGTGAGTGCCGCATCACCTGCTCTTACACAAAGAACTGAGTGTCCGTTTCTTTAAATTGAAGCCTCTGCCCTCCACTGTGGTTGGTTCCCAAGTGGAAGAGTGCAGCTGCGTTAATGAAAGGAATCCCTCTTCTACTTCCAGCCCTGTATCGAGACTCACCTCCGCAGGTAAAGGAGCGATCCCCTCCATTAACTCCCAAGGAGAAAACTAAAACAGAAAAACCTTGGGCTTCTCAAAAGGTATGTGTGTCAAGAATGTGCGCTATATATAAGATGCTCTGATTTTTTTTTCCGTCTGTATAAAATATCTCTTTCTTTTTTTTTTCGTGCTTATGATCTTCCATTGTTTACATTGTTACTTCTTTTGACTTGGGCACCAATGAGAAATATATAAAGCAAACATTACAGCCATTTTCCAGATAAGGAAACCAAGGAGGCTCAGAGAGGATAAAGTCCTAAACCCCCAAGTCCCAGCCTATAATGGCGCACAGCCCAGAAGTGGAGCTGTGGCTTTAGGTGCTCACACTGATGCCAAAGGTCGCAGGAGTCCACAGAAAAAAAGTCGTTCTTTTTACCTAGCTCTCTTAGACCATCCCTTTCACCTTACAGTAACTAAAGATTTTCAGCTGTTGTGAGAAATGCCGTTGCCTTTTAAGGTCTGTGCCTTCAGCAACAGCAGTCAGTAGCTCTCTGACGCAGGTAGTTATTTATATGGATATTGCTTATTAGACCTGTTCCATTATGTGACATCAGCTCTTTCCTTAGGCCGACAAGCCCTAGTAATTCTTGACTATGAAGCAATATATATTGTTAAACAAATATATATCTTGCATATATCATTATAATGTCATGGTAAAATTTTTGGTAATTGAACACTGTATCAGCCATTCAGCATGTAGTTACTTAGTTCTTCTATACTGACCATTCATTTAGCCCAAAGTGAAGCTGGTATAACAAGGCACTTACCCTGATAGGTTTGACAGACTGGTGGCAAGCCACTTGTGAGCAGGTAGTTTCAACAGACTCTTGGAACCAGATAATGTGGAGATAATGTACTTGTTGCTGGGAACACACCAGGAAAGCCAGGACTTGCTCCCAAGGGGAAAACGCGTAGCCTGCAGCTTCTATGAGTTAAAAGGTAGTACTCTATGAAGTTAGGAAAAAACATGCCCTAAGAAGAAGAGCTTGAATAAGGTATAGGATGTTATGATCGTGTCTGGGGAATGTAGATTTAAAGGGCAAAAGTTAGAGAAGAAATGCAGGCCCTGGGCCACAAGCAGCCCAGTGCACTCTGCTAACTTGCTTATATTTTATCTTCCAGACAAGGGATCCCCTGGCAGAGGTGACCCCAGGAAATGATGTAAAAAGATTTTAAAGCATTATCACAGGTGGTTAAATAGAGGCAAGTTAAACCAGGCACAAGGAAATTAGTTAGGGATACATGGAAATGAAATACATGACTAAACTAGATGGGTGGGAGGGAGGAAGAAGCGTGATTGCCAGGCCTTTTGTTGGTTCAGCTAATAGTGACATTAGAATCTAAGATAAGTCTGAGGTCACTGGGTTATTGTATACCTGAATAGGTGACAGTACCACAAAATCAATGGCCCAGGAGGAATTTGGAGCATGGAGGTGAGACAGGGTGGACAATAAGAACCCATTAGTTTGGGATGTTTCAAAAACTGGAATCTGAGAGAAAGTAGGGCTCCAAAGTCAAATGAGGAGGAATCACTGTAGTTAGGGTACTGTGCCAGAAAGCAGAATTTGTGGTGAAGGCACTGGCCCTGAGTGAGGTCTGTGGGGTAAGAAGAGAAGGAAGCCAGTGGCAGAACCAGATGATACTAATATTAAGAGAGTCAACAGCTGGAAACCCCAGAGTATGAGATGTGCCCTGGAAGCCAAAGGTGAAGGGAAAAACATTCTAGGCATGTCCAAGTGTTTGACATTGGGACACTAGTTTGCCATCTGCAAAGGTCCTGCAGAAAACCATGCAGTTGGATTATAAAAAGAAAAAAAAAATCTCACACACACACACACATACACACATACAAACAAACCTCTTATGTTTTAAGCAAATCTACCATCTTGAGTTGGACCACCCTCTTAGCTATCTTTGGACATGTGGGTGTCAGGTTGCAAGTAGCACAACTGGGTTATCTGAGCATTTGGTGTCAAGAGGACCCTGACAGCTTTGCACCAGGATCAAAGTAACAAGCAAGTGGAAGCCATTCTCAGAGTTTCACTCTGAAGAAGGGAGGAAGGGAGAGTGAGCAGTTGCTGGAGGAAGACCAGATCTCCAGTTACTTCCCGAGTATTGAAGAGACACAAACTCTGCTGTGGAGGCAAAGTCAGGTTGTGGTACATTGTGGAACACGCAGGCGAGTTTGTTTTATTATAGAAAAACAAAGTGGTACATGCGTCTTGGCATAGACCAGCACCTCTCAACTGGTAGTGGTTTTACCTCCCAGGAGACATCTGGCAATGGCTAAAGATTGTTGTTACATCAGGGTGTGGGAGACTGCTGGCTTCTTGGCAGTATTTAGAGCTCAGCACTTACCCTTCTGCTGGACAACAGAGACGTGACCAGCAAAATACACCAATACCATCAAGCTTAAAGCAGCATCCCTCTCAAAGTGGGGGGGATGACTTGGATAAAGTCAAAGTCTGGAAATAAGGAATGCGGTTTCCTGCATGCAGCACCAGCTTGGAGAATATGGAGAGAAGCACGAGAAGGCTGGCAGGCTCAGAAAGCCTGGTTCTCCACTAGGTTACAGTGGAGAACTGTTCTGCTGTTCAGCATCAGACTTAGGAAATTAACAAATGTCTGTCTTAATTCAGGGCTACTGTAACAGACATGCAGTCGTTCATAGTGGCTTAAATAACGAATAATTCTCACCGTGTGGAGACTGGGAAGTCCAAGGTGAAGGTGCTAGTAGATGTGCTGTCTGCTGAGGGCTGGCTTTCTGGTTTGCAGCTCATTGCACCCTCACAAGACAGAGGACACAGAGAGGAATCTCTTGTGTCCAGTCTTAAAAGAGTACAGATCCCACTTGTGAAGGTTCTGTCCTCATCACGTATTTCCAAGAACCATCACGGTGAGGCTTAGAAACTTAGCATGGTAACTTTGAAAAGGTACAAGTCACCAACTCATAACAGTTTTATTCTAAACTTCCTGGATAAATTACTGCAGTGGAAATATAAGTTAGCATGGGGCAGTAATAAGGTTTTTGATTTAGTATGAAATGCAGTGAAAGATCAAGCCTTACTGGTGTTCCCAGCTTGCTGCCATGCTGACCATTGAAACTAAGGCCATGTAACTCTTGAGTCTGTATTCTTCTCCATTGTCCCTGTGTCAGCCGGAGAAGAGGCATTTCCTGTACTTGACCACTCCTGAGAAACTGGTCTTGCCCTTCCCCTGCCTGGTGTGCCTGTGTTCCTCAGGCACCACTTCCTGAAGAGAACGCTTGCTGCCTGTACCCCTCTTTTCCTTATCTGGACTCACCGCACCATGTCTAGTTTAGACTGGGGTTGATTTTCCAGTTTTGGTCTCCACCTGCAAACATTACTTGTACATTCATCTTCCAACATAATCATTCTTCAAGTGTCAGCTTAGCCCTTAAGAGCTGTTGCAGGCTCATCTCACTAATGTCCAAACCCTAGCCCTAATAGGTCCCCAGAGAACATACACTACGCAAACTCAAACAGTTTTAAAATAAAGTAGTTAGGCTGGGGATGTGGCTCTCGGTTGTAGATAACTTGCCTAGCATGCGTGCAGCCTTGGGTTGAATCCCTGCTGAAGCAAGGGTGATTCACTGCACTAATGCATAAAGCAAGTACTGCCCAGGTGAGGAGCCATTTGGGGCAGGATTTGGACATCCCCATAGGCAGGGTGGAGGTCATATCAGGCTCTAAAGTTAAAGTGATCTGTCATAGGTGAAGCCCATGGGTCAGACTAGAGTCCTGTAAGAGAGCAGCTCTGCAAGACCTCCAGCTCTTTAAAAATTAGGAATATGTGTGTGTGTGTGTGTGTGTGTGTGTGTGTGTGTGTGTGTGTATAGGGGTGTGTATACCTATACGTAAATATTTTCCTCCAAGGAATGTGTTATACATATATTAGACAGTATGTTAATTCGTGGAGAGAGAGAGTATGTGCTAATGTAAAAAGAAGTCCCTGATAAACATAATGTCACCCCACGCACTGAAATGCCTTGAATACTCTTGAGTCATGAAGCTGACAGCCATAGCACCTGGTTAGTTGTGTTTCCTAATTAATTCTTTATCAAAATGCATATGGTTTGATTTTATCACGATTCTTCTTATGAGCATACCATAAAAATTCACCAGAGATTTAATTTCTCATGTAATCCTTTTCTTATCATCATATATAAGATAAGCCTCTTAAAGAACATGGAAAGTTACTAAGCTTTGTGGGAGGTCTGGATTCATAGCACTGTGGGGCTGGTGCCAGGAATGAGGCTACGACGTACCTGATTCATTGTGCAGATGAGCAAATTGAGGTCCCTAAAGTTGCAAGCATTCATTCAGATGGCACTGCTGGCTAGGGGTGTGGCCATGCCCCCTAACCCCTGCCACCGTGTAACAGATAGACCTCCATAGCCAGGTTTGTGTTGCTGGGGGGGTTTACAGCCCTGTCTACTGTTTGCTTCCCTGTGCCTCCTCCATGTGGAACTTGTAAGAACTGTGTTCTGTGTATTTCAGTTTGGATTTTGTTTCTGATTTTGAGATGGTGGCCTCACCATATCGCCCAGACTGGCCATGACCCGCTGGGTTGAAGGATTCTCCCACCTCAGCCTCACAAGTGGCTGGGACTGCGGGCATGTACTAATGCACGCAGCTTTATTCTCTATACTTTCAAGGAATAAAAAGAAAGAAACCTCAACATCTGTCCTTTTTTAAGTTTACTTCTGTCCAAACTATACAATGAAAAGCAAAGGTATGCCTGGCAGTGGCTTGGCAGCCACAGGACCTCCCAGATCTTCCCAGTGGTGCCTGCTCTGGTGCCAGGCTCCTGCCAGCACATCTCCTGGCACATGGCGATGGAGGAGGCTGGCAGCAGCATTTGTTGCCTGTATGGGTGTTTTCCTCCAGGCTCATCGAGGCCTTCGGTACCAACTCGTATCTGATAGAAAAGCAAATGCTGGTGCTGTCAGGGAGTTAAAAAACTTGGAGGCTTTGAAAAAATTCTGCCAACTTGGTCTTATTCATTTGTGTTTTAGACA